CTGGGGGATTGAACCGCAGTCCCTGTGCTTTTGCTTAGCTTGTTCTAAGTAGATGCTTTAGACCACTGAGCCATCTCACCAGCCCCGTAGTGGGTTATTTGTAGGACTGGCAATGTCAGAAGTTGTTGACTTGAGCCTTTTATAGGTCAGTATATTAATATTAATATGGATTTACTTTTTATACCTCATTTTTATACTTTTCTGCTGGATGGTTAAGACCAAGATAAAGCAAGGCCTACATAACAAGAAATGTAACTTGTATCTGATAAGGTGATGTTCATAAAGTTAATGCTGACATTGTAAGAAAAAAAATCATCCAAAGCACTGCTTTGAGAAGAGTAGGTAAGACATTGTTTGAGGGGATATGGCTCAAAGGCACAAGTGCCGGGACTCTGATGTGGTATCTGAGCTGGGCCTTGCATTCCCTAGGCCTGTAAATATCAGAGTCCCAGAACCAAAAATAACTTTTGTCTCAATTAAAAAAAAAAAGTTTTGATGAATTGAATTGGGAAAAACGGTAGTTACTGCCTCAGATGGTAGTTCACAGTCAACTTTTCATTGAGTTATGAACAGAAATGTAATATAACGCTGGGGAGATGGCTCACTGGAATAAGCGCCTCCCTGGCAAGCGAAAGGGCCTGAGTTCAATCCCCAGTTCCGCCAAAAACAACAATGACAAAGAAATGTAATATACACATTCCAAGCTTTGAAATTGAAAAGAAATAAAAAACCAGGAAAAGGAAAACAGCAAAGAAGCATTAGAATAGCATAAAAGAGATGAATAGAAGTAGAGGTGAATTATCACGCTTGTAAACTGGTTAAATTCCCAATTAATAGGATTCAAATGGAGGTTTTTGTTTTGTTTTGTTTTTGAGATAGAGTCTTGCTATGTAGTCCAGGCTGAGTTCGAACTCAGGACAGTCGTCCTGCGCCGGCCTCCAGGGTGCAGGGAGAACAGGTGTGCGATAACAGGCCTGTACCACTACCGTGGGTAAACGCACTAATTTTAAGCATGCATTTTGCAACAGATGTATCTTTTAAAATTTGTCAATCCGGCCAGGGATAGAGCTCACAGGCATAGTGCCTGGCTGGCAGGGGCAAGTTCGCGCGGAAGGACCTCGCAAGAGCAGCAGGAAGGGCGGGGCGCAGGGGCTGCGAGCTCCAGGACCCTGCACCGCTGCCTTTTAAATGTAACCTCAAATGTCGTTTCTTGCTCTGGCAATTTAGAAAAAGGATCCTCCTCCTGCAAAATGCGCCCGGCCTGCACAGACAAAGATTATTTCTACACGCACACGGCCTGCGATGCCAACGGAGAGGTGGGTATCCATGACGCAGCCCCCGGCCCAGGTGGCCTGACTCCTGCGCTCTGCCTTTCCCGCCTTTTGGGGCGCTTGCCGCGTTTTCGCAAGTAAGGCCCCTGCAGACCTGTGTGATTCCCCCAGGGCAGGGCAGGAGCAGAGCAGAGTGGCTCTGTTCACTCTCAGATCGGGAACAGGATTGCCTCATTTGTTTCCCTGCTTATTCATTTATGCTGTTTCGAAAGCCATGGTTCTCCTTTGCGTGGTTCCTTCTTTTTTTTTTTTTTTTTTTTTAAATTTTTTTTTTTTATGTGTGTGTGTGTGTGTGTGGCCAGCTCAGTCCACCAGGGGGCGGGGCTGGCTGACATGTGGTGCTGGGATTGAACCACCGTCCCTGTGCTTTGCTAAGCTTGTTCTAAGTAGGTGCTTTAGACCACTGAGCCATCTCACCAGCCCCTGCGTGGTTCCTTCTGCTCGCTCTGCGCTCTGCGCTCTGCGTGACAGCTGCCTGTCCACGCTCACATGCGTCCTCCGGGAGCTTCTCGGCTGCGTCCTCAGCCACTGCTGAGTGCAGTGCAGAGGCCGATGCCGCTCCCAGCTCACCCGGAGGATGGCCTGGCCGGTGCAGACTGTTGCTTCTCTTTGTCCCAAGCCTTCAAATCAGAAAGACTGCTTTCTGACCACATCAACAACAGGCCCTTACATACTGGCTGATGTGCCAGGCTAGGGAGTTGGAGGTGGCTCAGGGACCTGGGCGCCTCCTTGGGGGCACTCTGAAGAGAGGAGAAAGTGGGGCCAGAGAAGGCAGCCAGGGAGTGCACGTGGGACGGGGAGCCTAAAAGATGCAACTCAGCACGAGGAGTCACAGAAGGCTTCTCAGAGCAGGCTGTTCATTTCAACAGTCAACACGTATTTACTGAGCAGCTACTACATGCTAAGACACTGTGCGAAGCTGTAGTACACATCGGTTAGCAAAAGCAAGGTTACGTGGAGCTCCTAAGAGGTGCAATTCTTGTTGGGGAAAGAGACGACAGAGGTACCACAGGTTGGTACACTATATCCAACAGTAATGAGTGGCAGGGAAAATCACACAATTAGGTGACAGAATGGGGACACTATTGCAGAAAGGTGGGGATGGCTGAGTGTGACGCGGAAAGGGCCACGGGGCTTCCCAGGCAGCAGACACAGAGATGTGGAGGAAGCAGGCACAGACAGGCGGAGGGGGGCAGGGCGAGGCTGGAGGGCAAGGCTGGGGGGGGGTGCGCTCTGAGACTGAACCCTCAGGGTGGACTGCCTGTATTCCTCCACTAGACATTTTCCGGGAATGGAATGGGAACTGGAATTCAGCGCTGGGCTTACCACTTGGCTGTCAGGGTGCACGGGTGTTTGCTGCTGAACAGCTGGCTAACGCATCCCTTTGCTAATTAAGCATGAGATGAAGTCTAGTCCTTAACCCAGTTCTTTGTTTCCACAGCCATCTCTGGCCCCCGCCTCCTCTCCCGTGTGGGGAGCCCTGCACCCTGCTCTGTAGGCCAGGACAGAATCTTCAGCTAGTCGGTGGGACCCTAAACCCAGTCCCCGAGCATCAGATGTTCAGTGAACTTAGAAATATGTTTTCACTTTCTTGGTATCAGTCGGCTCACTAATATGTCAGGGACAATGACTCCTGGCCTTCTTTCCCCACTAGACTAGTGTGGCTGACTGTGGCCGTCCTTCCTAGTCTCTCCTCTCCGGGACTGGGGTCACACATAGCCTTTCAGATCTGCAGGGTGCTGTGCAGCCTAGCCTGGGCGCTGCCCTGCCTGACCCTTACTGGGCTCCTGAGGAGCTGTGTCAGGCCGAGGCCCTGCTCCAGGGGCAGCGTAGGCCAAGCACAGCGCAGGCAGCAGCACCGACGTGGACACGCAGGCTGTGAGGCTGGGCAAGTCTCCACGCCTCTGCCTCCTCACACCCACCTCCCTCTGCTTAGCCTGGTGATTCCAGTCCCTCTCTCCTGTCCCTTCCCCCTCCCCCCTCAGTTTTTAAAGACAGTTTCACTCCGTATTTCAGGGTCTTAGTCCTAACATGTATTTCAAACTGGCCTTGAAACTCACTATGTGGTGCAGGCAGGCCTTGAACTCACAGCGATCCTCCTGCCTCAGCGTCCCGGGAGCTGGGACTACAATCACGAGTCCCCACACCAGCTCATACTCTCACATCTGGTGCACAACCCGAAGCTGGTGGCTGTGCTTGCCCCTGTGATCTTTTCTGTGCCACCCTCAGGGGCCACAAAGGCCAGCTCTTTGGGGCCACTAAATATGCTGCTCCAAGGGATGGCACAAATCCATCTTTTCTCCTCTCCCTGAAACTCACAGGGACAGGCAGGGGAGGGGAAGGTTAGGGGGACAGCCTGGGTCCTGGCCCCAGCCCCTCCTTACAGTGAGGAGGAAGCCCAGGGCTCACCACCAATGAGTAACTCTCCTCAAGACTCTGCCTCTTCTTATCCTAAATAAAAGGGGCAGAGGCCTTTTCTGCCCATCCTTTGACATGTATGGCACACAGCACAGGTCATTTTCACTGTCTCCTTGTTCCACATCAGTTAGGGTGCTCAGGCTCCCCTTTTTGATGTGATCGATCTGAGAGCTGTATAGAAAAAATGGAGCTGCCATGCGCGTGCACACACACACACACACACTCACACCCCAGGGTCTCCCTCAGGTCATCCTTCCTCTGCACATCTTGCTTTTATCAAAAGTCAAGGGATGCGCAAAGGCTGAGTTCAATCCCTGGTTCCACAAAAAAAAAAAAAAAAAAAAAA